AGTAGTTGTAAAATCTGTAAGGCACACTGAACTTCCTGTGGAGCCTCAGGAACTTTCAAGAAAACCACAGCTTCCCGTATATGAATGGTGCTCTTTGGTGCTATTCTAGCTAGAGGCCGTGTCCCCAGATACAGTCACCTGTAGGAGCCTGCACGTGGCTACATGCTTAGGGAAGACTGCTGGTTGTTGAGCTTCAGAAGTCTCTGATTAGAGTTCCCCCGGGTCCACAGCTCCAGAGGGGCCGCAGCCTAGTGTCACTATGGGTGCTGAGCCAGTCCCTGGGGCTGCACAGAGTCTCTCTCCACCCCAGAGGCTGCTTAGCCTGCTGCCTTTTGGTCAGCACAAAGTTTGGAGCTTTTCACTTCAAGGTCTATTTAGTTAAGATTGTGGGAGTGTGTGTGCCTGCCACACACAGGTCAACTGCAGCCACACTGCAGTCTTCTGTGTGGATCTAGCACACGTGAGAAGTGCCTTATGGTTGTACCATGGAGCCAGCCCAGCTTGTTTTTTTTTCTCTTTCTATTATTGTTGTTTTAAAAATGTAGCATAAGGGAGGACCAGCAGATGGTGTAGTCATTATGTCACTGCCCTCCCACATGGCCAACTGCGGTTTGAGTCCTGGACCTGGCGACTTGAGGCTCACAGTGGGCACATGTGCGTGCCTGCCCAAAACCCCAGAAGAGACTGGAAGAGAATGAATTGCAGCATGGCCACTCCATCCCCCGTGGGGGGTGGTGATTTCTTGATTTTTGTCACGCCCTATAGCAAAAATCTCTGCCTAAAAAATCATGTGGCAGATGGTGTAGCAGTTACTTCACTGGACTCCCACATGGCGGACAGCGGTTAGAGTCCCAGACCTGGTGGCTTGAAAATCACACCAGGCACATGTGTGTGCATCCCCAAGATCCCAGGAGGAGAATGAAAGAGAAGGGATTGCATTGTGGCCATCCTCCCTGGGAGGTGATTTCTCACTTTCCCTTTCACTGTCTCTGTCTCTGTCTGTCTCTCTCCAGGGAGCACATCCTCCCAAGGCAAAAACCTCTTTAAAAAATAAATAAATAAAATAAAAATGTAGCATAAGGGGCCAGCAGGTGGCGTAGTAGTTAAGGTACTGGACTCCCACATGGTTGACCATGATTCAAGTCTTGGAACCGGTGACTTGAAACTCAGCCAGGTGCATGTGCATGCATGACCAAAATCCTAAAAGGAGAATGGAGGAGAAGGGATTGTGCATGGCCATTCTCTTAGGGAATGATTTCTCACTTTCTGTCTTACTGTCTCTCCAGTGAGTACCTTATAGCAAAAATCTCTCTCTCTTTCAAAAAAAAAAAAAAAAAAAAGGCATAAAAGAGAAATCCATAGTCTCACACTTTAACAGCCATTTTATTATTTTCTTGTCTCTTGCACAGGCATGTTTGTAACTTTTTTACAGTGATGGTATTCACACAGTTTTATATTCTTTCATATATGTATATATGTATGTGTGTGTGTGTTTTGCTTTTATATGGAAATAACTTCAAATCTATAGATAAATTTTCAGGAGAGTACAGAAAAACCCAGAGTGAATTTAACCCAGATTCACCAATTGGGCTGCATAGTATTCCACTAAGTATATATGCCTGTGTTTTTGGGTCACTTCTCTGTAAGCAAGTAGGCTGTTTTAAGCTTTTCTGGAATGCCAGAGCTGCAGTGGAATATTTTACAAATGTGACTTTCAAGTACTGTGGCCTCACTCCCTTGGCTGAGTTTCTGGAGGGAGTCAAAGGATGGTTACTAAAGGGTTGAGTGTATGGGGAGTACCTGCTGGTTTCTGCACTGCTCTGTTCTTCCTCTCAGTTTGTTACAGTGTGTGTACACTCACTGGAGAGAACAGAGAGAGAAAGAGAGAGAAATCACCCCTGCCCTCAGGATGACCACTCTCTAGTTCTTTTTTCCTTCATTCTCTCAGGATTTCAGGCATGCATGTACACATGCCTGGCATGTTTTTCAAGTCACTGTTTCTGGGACTCGAACTGTGCCATCAGCCATGTGGCATCCAGTTGCCTTAACTACTGTTCCACAGGCTGGTGCAGTGTCTGCTGTGTTCTCAGGGTTTAACCTAATGGACTTCTACATCTAATTTTTTTTTTTCTTTTTATCATAGGGTCTATGTGCTCCCCAGACAGAAACAGAGAGAGATAGAGAGGAAAAGTGAGAAATCACCCCACCCCCTTTACTCCATCTCTCTATCCCGTCAGAAGTTTGGGCACACATGCCTGGTGTGTTTTTCAAATCAACGGGTCCAGGAACTGTGCTATCAGCCATGTGGGACCCAGTTCCCTTAACCACTAGACTGCAAGGCTGGCCTGGCTTCTTTATAATTTTATACATATTTTTATACCATGCCTCGAATTGTGACTAACCTGGCAGAGCTATAAGAAACAGAGGCCTGTGCCCTCCTGGCTGTGGTGCAGGTCCAAAATTTTTGATAGTGACTCCTTGATTGGGAGGGGGTGAGTTATGGCTTCTAAGGTGACCTCACCTGAGCCCAGTGGCCTGACTGGCCTTTCACGTGGTGTGGAGGCTCCTGTGCTGCCCTGTGGCCGCCCAGGCACACACCCACTCCTGCCGTCTGCCACCTCCTTCTCCACACACCCTTGTGTTTGGGCCCCTGGCCAACCTGTCTGAATGGGCCTCTGGGATCTCAGGATGAGCATCTCTGTTGGCCCTTCTGTTTGGTAGCTGAGCTCCGCCCCACCACACTGTGGGGCCATGTGCCTACCTGGCTTTCCTGTTCTTGGTGCAATTTCCACTCTGGTTTCTAGGGTTCCTTGGTGTGTACCCTTACCTGTTTATGTACAGAGTGAAAACCTTGTGTGTCTTTTTAATTTGTCAGAGGGTATATGCATGTGTGCTAGCCAGAGAGAGAGAGTGAACAAGCACCCCACATGGGGAATGGTCGCACCACAATCCCTTCTCCATTTCTCTGTTCCATTGGGATTTGGGGCATGCACGTATATGGACCCAGAGAGTTTCTGAAGCTACTCGGTCTGGGAATCAAACTGTGTGGTCAGCCAGGTCAGATACAGCCACCTTTACCACCAGGCCACATGCTGGCCCATTGTCTGTCCTTTGTAAACATACGTATAATCAAAGGGACCAATAGATGGCATAATGGTTACATTGCGGGACTCTAGTCCGCGGTTCGGTCTGGTCCCAGCGGCTTAAATTCAAGTGGGTCATGTGTGAGTATATGCCCAAAATCCTGAGAGGAGAATGGAGGAGAAAGGACTGCAGCTTGGCCATCCTCCCTGGGGAGTGATTTCTCGCTTCCTGTTTCTGTCTTTTTCTGTCTTTCTGGCGAGCACACGCACCCTACAGCAAAAACCTCTTAAAAACAAAACCAAGAAAGCATACATACATTGAAAGAAACAGCTTCATATGTCCATACTCTCTTATTTATTTAAATCAAACTAACCATCCAATTATATTCAGCCTTTGCTATTATAATACTGGTAACACTTTTTACTACTTCTTTTTTTATGAGAGATTTTTGCTATAGGGGGTCCCACTTTTTACCACTTTTGTGAGTCATTACAGACTCATGACTTTTTGCAGTTTTGGCTTATTCTCATGAATATGTTTTTTGTGTTTAAAGGGTCACAATTTGAGCCCATCCATGTCCTGGTGGGTAAGGCAGCTGGATCCTACATGGCTGGCTATTCAGTTAGGATCCCAGACACAGTTCCTTGACAAACATGTTGAACACACGTGCATGTGTGTCTAAAATCCTGCCAGGAGGGAGAAATGGAGAAGGGACTGCAGCGTGACAATGCCCCATATGGGGTTGTTTCCTCACTCTTTTTCTAGCAAGTGTACACACCCTCTGGCAATTTTTTTAAAAGGCACAATTTGGCCAATGACAACCCTTTTGGACCTTTTCTCTGCTCTTTGTCCTGCCACAGACAGACGACAAGGCCCCCAGGTTTCAGGCCTAGCTTGGACTCCAGCCCGTTCTGACACATGGAGTCATATGTGCTCCTGATTCGTTTAATTCATTTTGTGTCCTTGTACTGCAGTCTGATGAGGGGCTTGCGTCAGTGTCTGGAATACGCAGGGTCAGATCTGGAGGCGGGTTCTCATGGCCAGGTACGACTCTTGCTCATTGCTGGTGGAGCTGTGAGCAATAGGACCTTTCTGAGGGCCCGTGTGTCATCGACAGCTGTGCTGCAGTCGCTTTGTTAACAGTCACCCATCACCTTCCAGAAACACTTGAGCAGCAGCATGGTTTCCAGTGCACCCGTGTCGTGTGAGCCGTGGGCTCACCACAGCCTTGCCAGCCTTGGGTTGTGTTGTGAGCACACTCAGTCAGCTCCCTTGTATACTCACTCCTCTAATCAACAACATGCAGCACTCTCTGGTTGCTTTAATTTGGCCTCGGTTGGAAACCAATTGGAGTTGCGGTGGATGTCAGGGAGAGGGTAAGGCTGGAGCTGAAGGAGGGATACTGTTCTTCTTTTTTTTTTTTAATTTTTTTTTTTAGGTTTTTGCCAAAGGGATACTGTTCTTTTTTTTTTTTTTTAATCTTTTTTTTTTTTTGGAGAGGTTTTTTGCTATAGGGCATGTGCACTCGCCAGAGAGAGAGAGACATAGAGACAGAAAACGAGAAATCCCCCCTGGGGGTATGGTCACGCCGCAATCCCTTCTCCTCCATTCTCCTCTCGGGATCTTGGGCACGCACGCGCCCGGCGTGAGTTTTAAGCCACTGGGTCCGGGATGCGACCCGCGGTCACCTACGTAGGAGTCCAACGACATAGCCATTACGCTAACTGCTGATTCCCAAGGAGGGATGCTGTTCTATGGAGTGGCGGGTAGGACTGAGCAGGGAGGACCCTGGGGGGGAGAGTGTGTCTGATGGTCCGGCTCTCCTTGGGTGAGTTCCCAGATCATCCAGATGCAGTGCGTACCTTTGGGAAAGTCCTTCTGTTGAGTCTTACGAGCTTCTCCTCTGTCCTCCAGTATGACGCCGTTCCCATTCAGCCCAGCGTGGTGTTATGTTCCTGCCCATCTCCATCAATGGTGAGGACCCAGACTGAGTCCAGCGTGGCCCCTGGTGTTCCCAGTGGTGGCAGCAGGCAGGGCCCCACCATGGATGGCACCACGGCTGAAACCCGGCCTGGTACCAGCTCCCTGCAACACGCTGCCCCACCGCCACCACAGCCTCGGAAGAAACGCCCTGAAGACTTCAAGTTTGGGAAAATTCTTGGCGAAGGCTCTTTTTCAACAGTGAGTATATGCTTTTGCCATTTGTCACATGGACAGGTTTCTTTGGAGAACAGACCTTCTGCGAGGTCTGAGTCAAGAGACCTGCACTAGGCCACATACTTCCCAGAAGCTCATTGCCTGCTGTAAGGGCCACAGGCAGATCATGTGAAAGGCGTGACTGAAATACTCAATTGATTTTGGAGAGGAAAGCTTAAAAAACTCCTTGATGTTTTAAGTTTTTTTTTCCCTCCCTCTTAAATGCAGTTAATTCCATTGTGACCTGACCTTAGCAAGTTATTTTTGCGTCCTTGTATCTCACGGGCAAGGCCCTGGGAAACTTTTCTAAGATTCTTTAGATTGAAAGCTACTATATCAGCATTGTATCTCTACAGGTTTTGAAACACCTAATGATCTTTTATTTTCTGGGTATTTTTGTTCTTGTTTTTTTAAAGTAAATGAGACAGTCTACCCTGGACATTTGTTAGAGGGGTAGCCTCCAGATTTCTCGTGTTCTTACTTCCATAAACAGAAATATTGGTTCCAGTCCTGTCAGTGATGCTCATGGGAACCCTCTTTGCCCCTAAAATACAGCTTACTTATATTCGCAGCATCATTCTCTCCCCCCTCCCCCTGGCAAGTTGCTAGAGTGCACATATATTCGTTGGGGAGAGAGACAAAGGGAAAGTGAGAAAGCCTGGGTTGCCCATGCCACAATCCCTAATCCCTAATCCCTTCTTCTCCATTCTTATGTCAGGATTTTGGGCATGCATACTCACTTACCTGGCGTGTTTTTTAAGTCAGGTCCAGGACTTGAATTGCACAGTTGGCCGTGTGGGATCTAGCTGCCCTAACCACTAATCCTCTGGCTGGCCCCAGCTAACATCTTATTTTAATTAACATAAACTTTTGCTGCCCTTAAACTTTTTTTTTTTTTAATTTAATAGGTTTTTGCCATAGTGCACATATACTCAGTGAGAATTCTCCCCCCCCCCCAGAAGGGATTGGCACACCACAATCTTGTCTCTTTCTAGAATTTTGGGCACATATGCACACACACCTGGTGTGATCTTTAAGCCGCCAGGTCTGGGACTTGAACTGTGGTTGACCTTGTGGGAATCCAGGACCTTAACCACCATGTTGCCTGTTGGCCTTGCTGTCCTTAAAGGGTTTTTTTTTTTTTTTTTAATAATTACTTTATTTAACTTCATTCATTCATTCATTCATTCTTTTTTTTAAAAGAATTACTTTATTTAACTTTACTTATCCATTTATTCACTTTTAATTTGACCAGAGAAAGGGAGAGAGGGAGAGGAAATGAGAAAGCAAGCCATGTCAACAGGTCAGGGACTCAAACCATGGTTGGCCATGTGGGCATCCAGCGCCCTTAACTACCACGCCACCTGTTGGCCCCCATTCATTCATTCATTTATTTATTTTAATTTGACCAGAGAGGGACACAGTGAGTGAGTGAGTGAGAGAGAGAGAGAGAAAGTGAGAAAGCAATGCATTAGGTCCAGAACCCGAACCATAGCCAGGCATGTGGGAATCCAGCTCTCTTCTTCACCACACCACCTGCCAGCCCTGCCCTTAAACTTTTAATTTAGATTTATCTTTTTTGTTATATTTTGGTGGTTTTTTTTTTTTTTTTTTTTAGAGGTTTTTGCTATAGGGTGCATGTGCTTGCCAGAAAGAGACAGAGAGACAGAAAGTGAGAAATTACCCCCCAGGGGGATGGCCATGCCGCAATCCCTTCTCCTTCATTCTCTTCCTGGAATCTTAGGCACGCATGCACACGTGCCCGGTGTGAGTTTCAAGCCACCAGGTCTGGGACACAAACCGCGGTTGACTACATGGGAGTCCAGCGACATAGCCATTATGCTAACTGCTGGTCCCGTTGTTTTGTTTTGTTTTTAGAATATTTTATTTAACTATTTATTTATTTAGTTAGTTAGTTTTAATTTGACCGGAGAGGGACAGAGTAAGTGGGGGAGGGAGTGAGAAAGCAAGCCATCAGATCCAGGACTTGAACTGCATTCGGCCATGGGAGTCCAGTACCCTTAACCACTATACCACCTGCCAGCCCCAAATTTAACTTTTTTTTAGAGAGAGATTTTTGCTATAGGGCGTGTCTGCTTGCTGGAGTGACAGACAGAGACAGAGAAACAGAAAGTGAAAAATCACCCACAGGGGAGTAACATGACCACACCATGATATCCTCTCTTTTATTCTTTTCTCAGGATCTTGGGCACACATGCACATGCACCTGGTATGAGTTCAAGTCACCAGGTCTGTGACTCGAACCATGGATTGGCTATGTGGGAGTCCAGTAACATAACCATTATGCCATCTGCTGGTCCCTTAATTTAGATTTACTAGCATTTTTTTTTAATTGTTTGGGCTTTAAAATTTTTTTTTTTAGGTTTTTGCTATAGGGCACGTGTACTCATGGGAGAGAGACAGAGAGGGAATATGAGAAATCACCCCATTTCTCACTTTGGGGGTGACCATACCCAATCCCCTCTCTCCGTTCTCCTCTTGAGACTCTGGGCACACTCACGTGCACATGTGCCCAGTGTGATTTTCAAGCTGCCAGGTCCAGGATATGAACTACAGAGTTGGCCATGGGAATCCAGTGCCTTATCTACCACACTACCTGCCATCCTACCTACCAGCGCCTTATTAGCGACTTCTGTGAAAGAATTTTATTTATAAAAGGATTGTGCCTTCAGGAAAAAGACTTGTCAGCCCCAAGAACATTGCCCAGAATTTCTGGAGCTCAGCTTCCTCTAGAGAGAAGCAGCACTAATTTTAAAAGAATTGTGGGCATTTTACATGGTTCTTGGGGTAGTCCAATAAAAGAGGAAGTCTCTTTTCTTTTTTTTTTTTAAAGAATTTTTTTTTTAACTTTTTAATTTTTTTTTATTCATTTATTTATTTTCAATTTGGTCAGAGGGGAACAGAGTGAAAGAGAGAGAAAGCGAGAAAGCAAGCCACCGTGTCCGGGACTTGAACTGTGGTTGGCCATGTGGGAGTCCAGTGTCCTTAATCACCATACCACCTGCTGGCTCCACTGTCTCTCTTTTTTCAGTTTTATTTCTTTCTGCTTGTCCTGACTGGAAAATGAAGACTTCTCTGTGAAATTGCCCACGTGCTTATGTCTCCACAGTGGGAGGTGGGCACCAGCCTGACTGTGCATTGCAGTCGGCATTCTTGTTATCCCTATGCCTTTTTGAACCCATGCTAGGAGGTGCATGGGAAATGCCAGAGGCCGGAGGCTCCTTCCTGGGCCTGTTTGAGATCTGTAGCCCTGGATCTCAAATCCTGTGTGGCATCTTCAGTTCTTTCTCCCCATTCCTGAAATGGGACCAAATACTGTTACATTCCCAGGGAGTTTGGAAAGTGAAGGATCACAGCATGGCAGAACTGGCACTGGTGTAGGTGAGTGGGAAGGGCTCTGAGGACAGTTGGAATATCCAGGTTAGCCCTGTCAGTGCCCCGGCTGACGTGGAGGGACATGTCACCTTTCTCGGGAACCAGACAACTCCTGCTTCCTGTAGGAAGCCTGCTTGTGAAATGCTGACTCTAGGTAACTAAAGTTACGTAAGAGCTCCTAAGAAAGGAGCCCGGTAAATGTCAGTACTCTCATAGCCCCTTCTGCCTGTGCATGTGGCTACCATGTGCTCTTGTGAAGAAACGTACTGTTGCATGACTGTGTAATCTAGACATGGAAGTCCTGCCTCTCCCACTCCCCTCGCTGACCAGAGGCTGAGCACTGTCCGCACATGCTCTGTCCCTCTGGAAAGGTCTTTGTGACTACTCCACCTGAGCACATAGGCTCTGACCACTTTCTTCTTGATAATTGCAGGGTATCTGTCACTTGGCACTCTTCTGATATCACTTCCTAGGAGTCCTGTGGACAGTGCTGTCATGGGAATAATTCAAAACCAAGGCCAGCTGAACTGGCCCGTACCTCTCAAAGGCCCTCCCACCAGGCCCAGGGGAGTCACGAAGCCTTTCATCTGCTCCCTGGTCCTCAGGCTGTTTCTCTGTGGAGGTCTTAGGAGACATGGCTGTGCCTGCTGGAGGCAGTGTGGCCTCTTGTGGCAAAGCTGCCTCTGGCACCCTGCCTACACTGTGGGCCCAGTAAGCGTTTCCAGGGTGGTACCTTGAGTGTGTCCAGGGCTGTCATGCCTGTGCAGTGTCAGGGACCAGGATGCTGTCTCAGAGCACATAGCCCTAGAGTGGAGCATAAGGCTCAGGCGAACTGGGGGAGGACCCGGGCGTGGGGTGGGGACAGACTCACAGGGTGTCTGAGAAGGCGTTTGCTCTGGGGGCAGACTTCCAGGAGGCCTCTCTGCAGGCCACAAAAGTGTTTTTAGTTCCCTGTGCCCTTCATAGCCATGCCCTGTACTTACTCATCAAATGAACTATATAGTGACAGTTGCTGGAAAAAGCTCTGATTCAGGGTGGCTTTTTACAGTGGATATATACTAGCAAGTCATTTTTTCAGAAGTTTTTTTTTTTTTTTTTTGGAGAAGTTTTTGCTATAGGGCGCGTGCGCTCGCCAGACAGACAGAGGCAGAAAGCGAGAAATCACCCCCCAGGGGGGATGGCCACAGTGCAATCCCTTCTCCATTCTCCTCTCGGGATCTTGGGCACACACGCACATGCGCCCGGTGTGAGTTTAAGCCACCGGGTCTGGCTCGAACTGCAGTCGACTACATGGGAGTCCAGCGACATAGCCGTTACGCTAACTGCTGGTCCCCAGAAGTTGTTTTTGAAGAAATTCCCATTGTTTCTTGCTGCTTCCTACCGTTTACAAAGGGTACGTTGTCTAAGAAGTTCACGAATTTACACTTTGACGGCACCATGAAGACAATTGGCAGCTGATCAAGAGCCACGCAGAGTTGTGTGTGTTTGCTGCTAACTATTAGGGTACAGAGCTGGGCTTTCAGCTCTGCTTGCTAGTACGGGAGCAAACATTTTTCTTCCAGTGTAAGGAAACCTTCAAGCATGGGAGGCCTGGGCAGTGCTGCAGAGTGACTTGTCAAACTCTGTGCTTCTTGTCATTACATTGTGTTTTTTACCTTTTCCTCTCAAACCAGGTGGTCCTGGCTCGAGAACTGGCAACCTCCAGAGAGTATGCTAGTAAGTAGCACTGGGGAGCTGTGTGTGGTGTGCAGGGCAGCTTGCATGCCTGGGCCTGGCGGATCTCTGCTGATTGAGGCTGTGGGACACTGCTGACCTCGCAGACTGTGAGGCTGGCCTGTGTGGTTTTGAAAATGGTAACTTACACCTTTATGAGTTGTCTTTAGTGTTTTTACTGTTACTGATTGTAGTAACCCACTTTTCTCTCACCTAAAGTTAAAATCCTGGAAAAGCGTCACATTATAAAAGAGAACAAGGTCCCCTATGTAACCAGAGAGCGAGACGTGATGTCACGGCTGGATCACCCTTTCTTTGTTAAGCTTTACTTCACTTTTCAGGATGATGAGAAGCTATGTATCCTTTGCATGGTCAGATCACACCCTCACCCTTCCATTAGAATCATGGCCCTATGGGTCCATGCCCCTGCTGTTCTGGGGCCCCTGGGGCTGTTGGGAGCACAGGGCCTGCTGAGGCTCAGGGTACAAGAAGGTACCCTGAGGGAAGTCCTTCAGACAGTTTTTGAGGTTTTTATTTATACATATATAAACTTTGTACTTAAAAGATTACTGTTTTTGGGACCAGCAGGTGGTGTGGTGGTTAAGGCACTGGACACTCTGACATGGTTGACCATGTTCAAGTCTCAGACCTGGTGGCTTGCTTTCTCCCCCCCCCCCCCCTCTCTCTGTGTCTCTCTCTGGTCAATTAAAACAATTAAAATAAATTAATGAATAAATTAAGTTAAATTAAAAAATTTAAATCTTCATTAGAAAATGTTACTGTTTTTTATTTTTATTTTTTTAAGAGTTTTTTGCCTTAGGGTGTGTGTGCTCGCTGAAAAGAGAAGGAGACAGAGACAGTGAGAGGGAAAGTGAGAAATCACCCCCCAGCAGAGATAGCCATGCTACAATCCCTTCTCTTCCATTCTCCTGGGAGCTTGGGCACACGTACATGCGTAATTTTCAAGCAGGACTTTAAACCGCTATGCCAGCTACTGGCCCTTGCTGTTTATTATTTTAATCCCATGGATGCTGGACATTTATGCAAAGGCCTTTCCTCATACCTGCTATGCAACGTCCTTAAGTATCTCCTAGGTGTCTGCCTGAGAAGGGGTCTCAGTGCCTGGAGGGGAATTGGCATCTCTCTACCCTCTGGTCTCAGGGTGGGGGTTTGTCTGGACTCGGCCCCTGAGAAGTCCAGCTGGTGGCCCACAGGAGCCTGCTGCCCTCCTCTGTGTGTCCAAGGGCATGTCTGACCACCTGCCCTGCTCCCCAGGTCTGGCCCACTGGCCTCTCACCAGGGTCACCCTTGCTCCCTTGACCTTTCATCTAAGCTCTGGGCACTGTCTTTTCCCTTTCTGAACACCTGTCAAGGAATCAGGGAGGCAGGGCCTGGGGAGTTAGGTAGTGCTCGACTTGGCCCCCATCCACCCTGGGTGGGGTCCTCCGTGTAGAGACTGCCCTACCCTGACACACATTGTTTGGTTGTCAGAGGACATCCTTGCTTGCTAGTGGGATGTGGTCATGCTACCATTCCTCCACCTGCATTCATCAGTATGTTAAGCGTACTTGCACACAACAGGCCTCAGTGTGTTCCTCAAGTTGCTGGGGCCAAACCTGAGCCCCAGTTGGTAGTGTGGGACCGGCTCCTATGACTACTGCCCTATGGGGCAGCCCTGTGCTCCTGCCTTTTTTTTTTTTTTTTTTTTTTTTTTTTTAATTTGCGAGAGAGCATGTGTGCTTGCCAGACAGAAGGAAGTGAGAAAACACCCTCTAGGAGGAATGGTCACTCCACAGTCCCTCCTCTTCCATTCTCCTTTTGGGATTTCGGGCATATGTTCATGTACCCAGTGTGTTTTTTAAGCTGTTGAGTCTGGGACTCAAACTGCACAGTCGGGCATGTGGAACCCAGGTCTTCCAACCACCATGCCACCAGCTGGCCACATGATCCCACTTTTAATACCTTATTTTATCTCCTCCATCTGCCAAGAAATCTACTTATTATTTTGCTTTTTTTTTTTGCTATAGGGCATGTGTGCTTGCCAGAAAGAGAGAGAAGAGAGACAGAGAGATAGAAAGTGAGAAATCAGCCTCCAGGGGCATGGCCACACCACAATCCCTTCTCCATTCTCCTCTCGGGATCTTGGGCACATACTCACACACGCCTGGCATGAGTTTAAGCCACCACATCCGGGACTTGTACTGTGGACGACTATATGGGAGTCCAGCGACATAGCCATTAGGTCATCTGCTGGTCCCATTATTTCACGTATTTAGATGAACTTTTTTTTAAAGTTTATTTTCTCTGCCAGTGAGAGCAAGAGTATGCATGTGCACAGGAGCCACCTCGTTAGGGTCTCCACAGATCATGGTCCACCCCAGCCACAGCCACCCCAGATCATGGGGTGCATCTGCCTGACACACTCGGGGAGGTCTCTGGACTTGGACTGGGAACCTTCCTGTGAAGGGGACTGACAGAGCATCATTTTTTGCCATCACACCATCTGGCCCCATAGTACTGTGTTGCATGAGTGAGGGGCATGTTGGCCCATGAGGCAAATGGGTCACATGCATCCTTGGTGGGGGAGGTAGATGTGCACAGAACACGGGAGTGTCACCAGCTTTGCCAGCCCTGTGTGCTTTTCCCAGGAGCTGTGAAGACTTGTAAAGGGGCGAGTCTGGGTGTTAGAGTCCAGGAGTCCTGTGATCTGAGGAGAAGTCTGGGTGCAAGGGCAAAAGCTATGCAGCCTGGGGGTGGCTAGTGCAGTGGCCTGAAGCAAGAGTGAGAGGCAGTCAGCCCTGGGGTTTGCTCTAACTGAATGTTCGCAGTCCATGGTGGCAGGACAGGTCTGGGGCAGTGACAGCTTGGGTGGGAGGTGATGGGGCCAGTGGCTCCAGCCTGGTGTGCTGTAGTGTCTGTTATGGAGCCAGAGGTGCTGGACAAGGCAGCTGGCACTGGCCGGCAGAGACCAAGGGCTGTGAGGTAGCTGCCAACAGAGGAGAAAGGGTAGCCTGCAGGTTGGGTTTGCCAGCCACATGGAAGACGGCCTAGCCAGGAAAGGTCTGAGGATGGGGCCCAGGTTCTCCCCCCGTCCCCAAGATATTGGTGCCAGGAGGGGCCCACCAGTGAGCTAGGAGGCCATGGGAAAAATGGTTTTCTTTTTTAAACAGTTATTTATTTATTTATTATTATTTTTCCTAATTTGATATAGGGCAAATTCTCTCATGAGAGAGAAAAAGTGAGAAAGTAAGCCACCAGGTCCAGGACTTGAACCACCCTATGTGGGAGTCCAGTGTCTTATTCACCATGCTACCTGCTGGATCCAACAAGTAGTTTTTGATTGAGGGTGCCAGTCACCTGGCCAGATAGTGCCAAGCAGGCAAGTGTGTGGGGCCTGGGGCCTGGCCAGTAGGTGCCCTGTACAAATTGTTGATAATGGACAGACAGTTTCCTGGGAGAAGGTTGAAGAAAGAGTGAGAAGTTAGGAAGTAGAGACCGCACAGAGAGCTGATTCTCGGGGGTTCTGCTTATAGAGGAACCATGGAATGGACCAGTAGCTGAGGGAATGCAGCCCAGGGAAGGGTTTGTTGGTGATGTGTTTAGGTCTCATTGGGTCATGCCTCCTGTCCCCCAGCATCTCCCATCCCTGCCTCTGTCCTTGCCATGCAGCCGGCTCTACAATGGCTGCCGTCAGGGGCCCTGTACTGCACGCCTCAGGTTTTCTCACCTCATACTGCTTCACCGCTCCCCACAGGGTGCCTGCTGAGGCCCCGCAGGACTGCCCTGCTCTGAGCCTGGTTTCTTGGGCTTCCTGCAGAGCCCTGGACATCATTCCTTGGTGCACGGCTGTGCCTTTGTCTTCTCCCAGGGACAGGGTCCAGACTGGAGCAGGTGGCCTTACTAAGGCTGAGTTCCAGATGGACTGGCCAGAGTAGTGGGGCACAGGTCTCTCTGTCCAGTGGCCCAGTCACATGTGATCATTAAGGCAAGTTCCAAAGCCTCAGCATGTCACGAGGGCTCACTCATTCCCACAGGAGTGAGACCCAGGAACTTCTGCCCTAGACGGAACCCTTGGCTACATTGTGTCGAGAAAGGAGGAGGATGAGCCTCTACGTGGAGAATGCCCAGGTTGTCCTCCCACAGGCCGTGATTCCTAGTGGGGAGAGAAGCTAGCTCTGGGCTGGTGAGGTGAGGCTGCCTCACCTACCAGTGCTGGCTATGGCCCAGAGCGGGTGGTGCCTGTGAGGGGGCTGTCCTGCTTCATGGGCCTTTGGCATGCCTTCTCTTGTGAGGGAGCAGGCCTAGCGGGTGAGGGCACCTGGCACAAACCCTTTGCATCCTTAGAAGAAGAGAGGCTGGCCTTCCCATTTCCATGTCCTATTAACCACGTCTGCACTGGGAGTAAGGAACTGAGTGGGCACAGAGGGGCCTGGAGGGCAGCTTTGGGCAGTGTTGGTTGTCAGTCCCCTCCGTCCTGGCTTGTCATGGCATGAAGCTTCAGGCTCCTTCCTTTGGCTGAATATGGAAGTGCCATGGCAAGCAGAAGCCCAAAGAGAGCAACCAGCCAGCCTGGCACCCTCCCTGCCTCTAGGGCCCCTGTTCAGGGCAGGTGAGGACTGGGCCCTGTGTCTTGGGCTTCCAGAGAAGAGAAATGCCTACACATTTCCAGTGGTAGACACCAGTGTCTGGTGTCTTGGGGGAACAGCTGCGCAAGCCACAAATCCTCATGGCAAAACACCCTGGTCTGATGCGCAGCACAGCCAGTGGTGTCTGAGGGGAGGAGAACTGTCCCTCAGGGCTCTTCCCAGCTCTGACTCCCAGACACGGGATGAGCTGAGAAGTTAGCTTTCCTCTCAGCCTTGGCCACAGAAACCGTAGTGAGGAGGAGGCTGCCAACACAGCGTGGGACACAGCCTGTCTGTCATGCCTGGCCCCGGTCTACCCTGGCCTTCCTCAGCAGCCTTCCTGTGGTTGGAGCCAATCGCAAGTGGTCTGTGCCTTTGGTAGGGGTTGCAGATTCATTTCACTGAGGCTACAAGGTCTTCTGAGGATTGATGCAGTCCCGAAGGTAGAGCGGGCATGAGGCCCCGTCCCCATTTTCCCAGGTTGTGTCCTTATGTTATTGGCAAGAGACTTGTAGAACCAGGACCAGGGGTTCCTACTGGACCGTGTGGCTAGGACCTGCCCACCACAGAATAAGACTCTATTTAAGAATGATTCTTTTTTTTTTTTTAGAATGATTTTCACCCTCTTCCTTAACTGTGATATTCAGATTTTGGCCTCAGTTATGCCAAAAATGGAGAACTACTTAAATACATTCGGAAAATTGGCTCGTTCGATGAGACGTGTACCCGATTTTATGCAGCCGAGATTGTGTCTGCTCTAGAGTACTTGCATGGCAAGGGCATCATTCACAGGTAACGGGGCGCCCTGGAGTGCCAGCAGGACGGGCCATTGCGAATCAGGCCCATGACCCTTCAGCTCATGAGCTGCACTTGGTGCCACATCACGCTCACTCTGGGCCAGTTCTGGCCGGCTTTACAGAGGGTGACATGGAGACCAGGGGCACTTCACATGGGGACCGAGAGCAGGCCAGAAGCTCTGGAACCCAGTGTGGATGTACTCACCTATTGCTGTCCCATCAAAATGGGTCAAGTATCCATTCCACGCTAACACTTTTCTCGGCTAGCTTCGAGCAATGCCTCCAGCCTTCGTGTGTGCTTGCTCCGGTCTCCTCACCATGACTTCCCTGATAAGGTCAAGAATTTGGCTGCGTTGTATGCAGTGATTTTTGTCCAGTGCAAACTTTAGACTTCTTAGTCGTTGGTCTGTAACTACTATGAGTGTCCGTCAGCTCAGCAGAATTCAGAGTATGTGATAATGCTGCTCTTCTAGTGTTCCATCTCACATGTAAACTCCACCTTTACAGGGACCTTAAGCCAGAAAACATCCTGTTAAATGAAGACATGCACATCCAGATCACAGATTTTGGAACAGCAAAAGTGTTATCTCCGGAGAGCAAACAAGGTGTGCATGAGTGTGACCCCGGCCCTGTGCTCACGGTGGGGAGCAGCACCTGAGATAGGTGTGGCAGTATGTCCTCACGTCAGTGACCGTGTCTGTGACACGTTTGCTGCTGGAAGCCAGCTCTGGGCTCCAGCAGTGCACCTGGTCCCGGGGAGGGCGGGAAGTGCTGCTGTCCTTGGTGTCCCAACTGGCTCTCACTCCCTAGCCATCTTCCTAGACTGCTGGGCACCATATTCCGGCCTCATCGCCCATTCTCGGGGCTCAGGCTGGTGCACTCAGCTCTCAGCTTCTCCTGCAGATACTCAGTGGCACCTGGGAGTTACTGTCCCTGCACTCCAGTGTCTTCCATGTGTCTATTTGTTCATCTGCCTGTCTGGGTTGGGCAGCTGCCTGTGGTGGCCCATACATGGGCTTAGTCTCTCTGACTTTTTAGCAAGACTCTGGAACAGTGCAGAGCAAGAGGAGGTTGGATCTGCCCATGCTCAAGTGCGGTGTGTAACTGCAAACCCTCCAAACCCACCCCTTAGCCACGGTCAGGAACCACGGCAGCTCCATGTCTGAGGAGGTGTTGCTGAGAGCCCACTTGAGTCAGAACAGTGATCTGGGTTGTCTTAGTGGTTTGGGGGCCTGTCACTGCCCTTCACGTGCTTGCTGAATGGAAGTCATATACTCTGGAGGGACAGAGAATGGCAGTTGAACTCCTGAAGGCCGTTCTAAGTCTGGGGTAGAGAAGGTAAAGCCTTTATAGTAAAGTCTAGGGAAAGCTGAAGTTGTCATGTAAGCTAGTAATGACCTCAAGGGGGCCCTTGGGTCCTTAGAGTGTGATTGTCAGAGCTGTCCAGACCAGGAGGCTGCTGTGGGGTCCTCTCTGTTCGTACTTGGGGTTCTGGGTGAGAGAGACCTCAATGGAGGTAGAGTTCAAGGGCATAGGTGTAGGTTGGTTGATAGATTCAGGCAGAAGCATCTACGCTGCTGCACCCACACTCGTCATGTGGGGAAGGGGGACTGTGAGTGCTGTGTGGCAGTTCTGGCCTTGCCCTGCAAACACGGCCGGCTGGCTCACAGTTGGGAGGGAGCACAGCTGCACGGAGAAGCAGTTTAGCAAAGCAAGTGTTTGGAATGCCACGTGGGTTTCAGTTCTTCGTTACTGACCCGACAGTCATCACCTCGGCGCCAGGCGGGTGCTGGCAGGTGCCTGTGGCGTGCTATCTGTTTACTTGCTGGTGTTTTCCAGCTCATGTTATCACACTGACTGCATGGTCATTTTTAAAATGTGTTTTAACAACTTTTTAAAAATTAAAAAATTTTTATTGCAAGAGGGTACATGCACATGCCAGAGAGACAGAGAAAGGGAGGAGAAAGCCTGCCCACCCACTCGGGGCATGGTCATGCTGCAGTCTCCTCCATTTCTCTGTTGTGTTGGGATTTGGGGCATGTATGCACAGCACCCACCCAGCATGTTTTTCTTGCCTCCAGGGCTGGGATTCAGACTGTGGTCAGCCATGTGGGACCCAGCTCCCTTAACTGTGCGGCCATGGGGCATGCCCTCTGCAGTCAATGAGGCACTAAGACTACATCTTGGAGAGCCTTGAAGCCACCACCGTTTGGGGACTAAAAACAAAACTCACAATCAAAGAAGAAACTTTTTTTTAAAAAAAATAATTATGTATTTAATTTCATTTATTCATTCATTTCATCACACAGAGAGAAAGAGAGAGAAAGAGAAAGCAAGCCACCAGGTCTGGGACTTGAACCATGGTTGGCCATGTAGGAGTATCCAGCGCCTTAACCACTATACCACCTGCTGGTCCCTGAAAAAAAATTTTAAAGAATTATTTTATTCAGTTTTATTTATTATTATTATTTTTTAATTTGGCCAGAGAGAGAGAGAAGGAAAGTGAGGAGACAAGCCACCGGTCTGAAACTCAAATTGTGGTCAGCCATGGGGGAGCCAGCACCTTAACCGTCACACCACCTGCTGGCCCCGAGGCTTGCTTTCTTCAGGTGGCTTAGTCCTGGTGCCCCTTGCTTCCCAATAACCTGGCCTCCTCCTTTTCGCCCACCAGGTGTGACGATGGGCAGCCTCCCGCCTGGAGCTGCACAGCACCCCAGGAGGCACTTCTTACATGCCCTGAAATCTTGACCTGTTGGATTCATTCTCACAGACTGTGGTCAGCCATGTGGGACCCAGCTCCCTTAACTGTGCGGCCATGGGGCATGCCCTCTGCAGTCAATGAGGCACTAAGACTACATCTTGGAGAGCCTTGAAGCCACCACCGTTTGGGGACTAAAAACAAAACTCACAATCAAAGAAGAAACTTTTTTTTAAAAAAAATAATTATGTATTTAATTTCATTTATTCATTCATTTCATCACACAGAGAGAAAGAGAGAGAAAGAGAAAGCAAGCCACCAGGTCTGGGACTTGAACCATGGTTGGCCATGTAGGAGTATCCAGCGCCTTAACCACTATACCACCTGCTGGTCCCTGAAAAAAAATTTTAAAGAATTATTTTATTCAGTTTTATTTATTATTATTATTTTTTAATTTGGCCAGAGAGAGAGAGAAGGAAAGTGAGGAGACAAGCCACCGGTCTGAAACTCAAATTGTGGTCAGCCATGGGGGAGCCAGCACCTTAACCGTCACACCACCTGCTGGCCCCGAGGCTTGCTTTCTTCAGGTGGCTTAGTCCTGGTGCCCCTTGCTTCCCAATAACCTGGCCTCCTCCTTTTCGCCCACCAGGTGTGACGATGGGCAGCCTCCCGCCTGGAGCTGCACAGCACCCCAGGAGGCACTTCTTACATGCCCTGAAATCTTGACCTGTTGGATTCATTCTCATTAAATAGTAACCACTGGTTGGAAATCCACTTTTTTTTTTTTTAGAAAAGCATGACCTTATCTTCAAGACAAAGGGGGACTAGGCAGGAACTTGGGCTGCCCAGGTTTCCTTGTTAGGGTCTATGAGCTGCTTACCGTCCCTGTCCTGCCTCATCTTGCCCAGAGACAAGTCCACCCTGTTCAAGGGGACAGCCGAGGTGGTGTGTGGCTGAGGCCTCACAGTCAGCCTTGGGAGTTGCCCAGCAAGGCTGTGCCCTGGGCCTCATTTATTCATGTAGGTTTGCTCAAGGGCTGGTATGTGGCATAGGGCTAGTGCTGTTGCCCTATAGTCACTTAAAAATACGAGACTTCAGGGCTGCCCTGTGGCACAGCAGTCACGTGCTGCTCAAGAGAAACCAGGTCCTGCCTGGCGACTGCAATCCAAGTCCCAGCTCACTCAGCCTGAGAATGCCGGGTGCTCATCTGAGTGCCTGAGGCTGGAGGACAGTGTGTGTGGGGGGAATCTTGAGCACGCATGCACACACGGCCCAGCATGAGTTTTAATCCACTGGGTTTGGGACTTGAACCACAGTCGACTACATGGCAGTCCAGTGATGTAACCATTATGCCATCTGCTTGTACCAAGTTTTAAGTGGTTTTAGTGGACTCCCCAGAACTTTTACATACAGTATCGTGTCATCTGTGATTAGAGCTAGTTTTACTTCTTTCCTTCCAACCTGGATGCTTTTTATTTTATTCTCTAATTGCTGTAGAGGCAAAGACTATAAGCAGTGACAAACAGCTGTGGGCAGAGTGGCTGTCCTTGTCTCGCTCCTGGTCCTGGGGAGCAATGTCAGCATCCTGAGTGTGGTGTCAGCGGGGGCTTCTGTGCTTACCCATTTTATCAGATTGAGGATGTTGCCTTCTCTGCCTGGTTTATTAAGTATTTTATCATGAAAAGGTGAAATTTCTTTTTCCATTTTTTGGAGAGGTTCTTTTTGCTATAGGGCGCATGCGCTCACCAGAAAGAGAGAGACAGAGAGACAGAAAGTGAGAAATCACCCCCTGGGTGGATGGCCACGCTGCAATCCCTTCTCCTCCCTTTTCCTCTTGGGATCTTGGGCACGCACGCACACGTGCCTGGTGTGAGTTGAAGCCACGGGGTCCAGGACTCAAACCGCGGTTGACTACATGGGAATCCAGCGACATTGCCATTACGCCAGCTGCTGGTCCCAAGGTGGTGGATTTTGTCAGAAGCCTTTTCTATGTCTGTTGAGATGATCACGTGGGGTGTTTTGGTCCTTTATTCCAGCGATGTGATAGAAATCACTGATTTTTGTTTGTTGGACTGATCTCATGCTTGTGGGCAAATCCCCTTGGCTGTGGTTGGCACTTGGCTCTTTCTATGTGTGGCTGCATTTGGTTTTCCAGTCTGTGTCCACCGGGCAGTCGCATTTGTGCAGTGTGTTCCCTGCACTCTGTGTGGGTTTGTGGGTAACATGGCAGCCTATGTTCCTGACTTTGGAGACTGTGGTGTCTTCTGGGTTCATGGTCCTCCAAGCCCTCCCTCCCCGCAGGCTTCTCCATGTCTGACTCAGATTGGTGGTTCTCAGAGCACCCGTGGGCCAGGATATTGCACGCTTTCTTTGAGCCGCTTTGAGGGTGGAGACACCCCTGGAGCCTAACCGTCCCTGCCTCCACAGCCTCTCCAGGATGCTGTTGCGCCATCACTGATGAGAGGGCCAGCAGTGGCCCATGACTGGCTCGGGCCTGAGTTTCTAGTGACTGGAGAATGTCCCCATCAGCTAATCGCTAAGCTTCCAGAGAAGTTCCAGAACCACCTCAGGGTTTTCCCTGACGCCGGACAGGAGAGGATTCCAGACTTTAACTCGCCTTACCTTCAGTGACAAACGTAGGCTGCAGATACCGTGTTGCTGGGCGAGAGCGCAGGACATTCGTGTCTGCTAACAGCCGTCAGAGCCTCGACCTCCAGGTCATGCCCTGACTACTGCAGAGTCAAGAGTGCTGCTACATCTTGTTGTGTAGTACATTAATAAACAGACTCCTGTATCACCACTCACAAATCTATATATGTGCTTTTAATTTTAAAAGTGTTTGCTTATTTTTAGAGATAGCATCTTGCCACATTTCTCAGGCTGGCCTCAAACTTGTGATCCTCAGCTTCCTGAGAAGCAGGGACTGTAGGTGTACGTCACCATGCCTGGCTTGTTTCAGTATATTGATATTTATCATTGTTTTTCTTTATATTCTTATGTAGTCTATGCATCGAGAACATTATTTCAGGATAGTATCTTCTTTTTAACACTCTAGGGGAGTCTTCTGTCTCTGGGTTAACGAGCGACTGTGTCCACACGGTGGCTCTGCATGTCCCCAGGGGCTTGGAGATACCTTTAGAAAGGTGAGCACAGACGGAAAGGAGGGCAGGCTGGGAAGACAGGGCAGGGGTGCAGGAGTTGCTGAGTTGGGCCAGGAGGACAGAGCTAGGCAGAACAGCGAATGGTGGGAGGGTGGGGCCCCTGCCAGGTGTTCACTCTCCAGAGCTGGGCCATGAGGGATGCATGTCCTTTCAGATTCCGTGTTGTGCCAAAGGTAAACACAGACGGCCTGAGTGGTGGTATTCCTAGGGATCTGCAGGGGGTCCAGAACAACCCTCCGTACCATGGTCTGGGGGCTCGAGTCCCTTCTGTAAAACCGTGTGGTGCAGTGGACCTCTGGGTCCACGAATCCACATGTGTGCACATGCAGGGCTGGCCATGTTGATCCTGCAGGACTGAATCAAACCGGGGGTCATACACACCTTCCACGTGGAATCCTGTTGTAGACCATCTGAGTAATCGCATGTAAAGAGTAGGAATCACAGAGGTGCTGGTTAAAGGAGAGAGAGGAACTGAGCAGGGAGGTGAGGTGTGGAAGGTGACCTGTGCCGCCCCGCCCGCCCTCGGGCTCTTCCCCAGCTGCACCACCTTGAAGGATCAGGTGCTGTGACTGGAACTGCTGGGTTGGCGCAGGCCTGGCCTGTTCTTTGTGACTTTTTGTGCTTATTGGAAAATTGCCCCCCAAAGTCTATCCTTTTATGGCCCCACCGTAGTATGTCTGCCCCCTCAGGCCCTTGCTGGCGCTCTTTCTGCTTGCTCTCTTCCGTCTGTTTTCCTTGGTGCACTTGGTAGCCTATGGCTTCACTTTGCATTTCTTTGGTCTGGGCCTGGCTGGATGACCTTGCTGGTTTCGGGCTCCTAGTTTGACTCTCTTTCCTCTCTGGTCTTGGCTTCTATCAGGGTCCTGTGGGGTAGAGATGCTGCCATGGGATCTTCAAGTAAAAGGCCTTTACTGACAGAGCTGTGGGCAAGACTGAGGGACCAGGGGCTGCTTGGCCAGGGCCGGCGTCCTTGGGGCTGCCAGAGTGACACGAGATCTGCCAGGCCAACTCTATCATCTAGCTGGAGAAGCCCAAGGGTAGGGGAGGCCACTGGGCTAGAGGCTTACGTCTCACTCCTCTGGTGGGCCCTCCCTCGGCTGGTGAGTGTGTGCCAGTGTGTGTTGTGCCCACCACACACGTGGGCACCACTGGCCAGCAGGCACCAAAGTACCAGGACCCAGTCCTCCTGCGGCTGTGTCTGGGGTGGTGCTGCGGAGGAGGGGGGCAGCATCCCAGGGGTCAGGCAGGCATCACAGAGCAGGTGATCTTCAGCCAGCCTGGGGGTGCCTGGACGAGCCTCTCTCAGGTGACCTCAGCTTCTGTCTGCCGTGACCCTGATTACCCTTGACTTCTCAGTGAGCAACCCCCAGCCGTGGCTGCCTCAGGCCTCAGTGGGTCTTGTCTCAGCCTGACCTTTTCTCTCTCTGCCTCCTCTCCTCAGCCAGGGCCAACTCGTTCGTGGGGACAGCACAGTACGTCTCTCCAGAGCTGCTCACGGAGAAGTCAGCTTGTAAGAGGTAATCACTGCATCCCGGCCGGGCTCCCCTTCTCTCTGAGGTGGCTGTGAGCTTCTTCCTGAGGAGTTCGTACTCAAGAGGAGGACTTTGGGGTCCTCAAGTGGGGCACATGTGTGGAGGAAGGCAGCTAGCACTCTTCCACAGCTGCTGCTGCACCGTCAGTTACCCCTCCCCGTCAGGCCTTGGTTGTGGTTGGAGAGTTGGTCTTGTTCCTTTAGGGGCAGCTGTTCATGGGCGGCACGTGACTGCTGCACCTGTGGTGCCCAGGGGTCGTGGTTGCTGCTTCTGTCTGGGCGAAGGGCAGGGAAGCCTGGCGATGCACCGGCCAGGGTCACAGGATGTGTGGAAGGGGAGGAAAGGGGAGGTTTCCAGCCAGGCTGGGGATTCTCAGAGATGGAGCTGGGTCTTGGTTGTGGCCTCAGTTGTGAAAATTAGAAGTGCAGGTGGGTGCAGGGGACATGGGGGCTGGTGCTGGCCCCAGGGACAGTTCTGTTTGTAAGATTGAGAAGGCTTCACCTGTAGGGCAGCCTTCCACTGACAGCAGGAGAGCTGATGAGCAGGAGTGGGGAGAAGTCTGCGCTGCTGCTCGGGTGAGCGTTTGGCGGGTGGAGACAAGTTACTAGGCTCTGGGGTTTCAAAATGTGGGTAGCAGTTACTTTCAGGTGATGACAAGTTCTGTGGATTGAAAATGTGGCTTCATATCTTTCTGCCTTGGACCAAATGCTGCCCAGCGCTGCTGCTGGGTGCCCTGGGTGCTGCTCGGCACTGCTGCTAGATGTTGGTGGTGCCCCAGGTGCTGCTCAGTGCTCCTGCTGGGTGCTGTTTAGTGATAGTGCTGGGTGCTGCTGCTCAGTGTTGTTTGGTGCTGCTGCTTAATGGCACTGCTGGGTACTGCTTCGTGACACTGCTGAGTGCTGCAGTGTGGTGCTGAGTGCTGCCCAGTGTCGTGGGGCTGCCCAGTGCTGCCCAGTGCCGTGGGGCTGCCCAGTGCTATACTTGTCTCTGGTGCTCAGTCCCTTTGTGAGTAGACAAGATCATGGGAGTCGCGCAGCAGCGGCATCCCTCTCTGGCAGTTTATAAGGTGCCTCCTTCCAGAAGTGCTGCTGGTGAGTGAACGGGTGGAGTGGCGCTGGGACGGCAGCTCTGTGCCTCTGAGCTGACAGTTTTAGAAGCACTCTGTGGGATGGGGCCATCGGCACAGGCATAGCAGGGATGGAATGGTGCTCTGAAACATTAAACTTAGGCATCTCGGTAATCTCTGTTTTTGTTTTAAAATTACCAGTGGTCAAACGTGCTTGCCAGAGAGAAAGAGACAGAAGGGCGAGAGCACCCCCGGCGCGGTGGGGTCATACCACAGTCTCTCCCCACTTCGCTACCCTGTTGGGATTTCGGGCACATACGGACACACCTGTGCTGAGCAGCACCCAGGGGCACCCAGCAGCAGCACTCATGCTTTTCAAGCTGCCAGGGCTGGCATTTGAACCATGGTCAGTCTTGTGGATCTGGCTCCCTTAACCAGTGCACTATAGGGCCAGCCCTTTTTTCTTGTTGTCGTCTACCCTTATTCAGTTATCATACTCAGTCCAGATGCTGAGTCCTTACCATGGCTAGACCCTGTTCTAGGTCGGAGGTGCCCACCAGTGGCAGTTCTGCAACAGGGGACATTGGGCTGTGTCTGGACTCAGTTTTGAGGTGTCACAATTTGGGACTAGGGGTGCTTACCGTAGCATATGCTGGGCAGGGTTCAGGGATGCCGCTCAGTGCCCTGCAGTGCAGAGGGCCACCCCATGGCAGAGAATGTGCCACAGTTGAGGCTGAGAAGCCCCCAGGGTGGCAGGTGTGATCTGCCAGAGTTTCAGGGTGTGCGTTACCACTGAAGAACTGGCTCTGCCTTTTTACTTGAGGGGGGGCGGCGCTCTGGCACTGATGGGGAACAGCCCAGTTGTATACATTCATGTACAGGGTCCCTTCTTCTGTGTAAAATGTGGGGGTGCACATCCATGTTTGTCTGTGTGTGCATTTCAAGTTCTCTATAAGGACATATAAAAGATGGGTAACAGTGATTGTGTGTGGGGCTATGAGAAAGGCATCCCTGTACAAATTATGATTTTAAAAGTGATGGGGCCGGCAGGTGGCATGGTGGTTAAAGGTTTTGGACTCCTACATGGCTGACTGCGCTTCGAGTCCCAGACCTGGTGGCTTGCTTTCTTGCTTTTCCTCTCTTTCTCTGTCTCTCTCATCAGTTAAAATGAATAAATAAAGTTAAGTAAGATAATTCTTTATTTTTTAATTTTTATTTATTTATTTTTTGAAGAGGTTTTCGCTATAGGACGTGTGCGCTCGCCAGACAGACAGACAGACAGAGTCATAGAGACAGAAAGCGAGAAATCACCCCCCAGGGGGGATGGTCACACTGCAATCTCTTCTCCTCCATTCTCCTCTCGGGATCTTGGACACGCACGCACACACGCCCGGCGTGAGTTTTAAGCCACCGGGTCCGGGACGCAAACCACGGTCGACTACGTGGGAGTCCAGCGACACAGCCATTACGCTAACTGCTGGTTCCCAAGTAAGATAATTCTTTAAAAAAAAAAGTAAGTGATCCCTATTTACCATAAAGAGTTTACGGCCAGTAGCGTGATGACCCCTGTTGCTGTCTCTCTCTCCCTCTCGCTCTCTCACACATGCACACATATGCTATCGATCAAAAAAACGTTTAAGTGCTTAAGGGAATAATTTTGAATTCTCTTTCTTGTTTTTAATGATAGCATATGCATAAGGGAGAGAGACCCTCTTGAAGGTACTTCCTGCCCCTTTGTGCGTGCACATGCTATCATGAATAAAACTTTCTTTTTTTCTTTTTAATTTTTTGCTGTTTGCTCTAGGGCATGTACACTCACAAGAGAAAGATAGGGTAGGGTGGGGTGAGAAAGCACCCACCCAGGGGAGATGGCCACGCCTCAGTCCCTTCTCCTCCATTCTTCTCTTGGGGTTTTGGGCATGCATGCACACATTCCGATGTGATTTTCAAGCTGTAAGATTTGGGCCAGCCATGTACGATCCAGTGTCTTAACTGCCACTCCACCCGCCGACCCATAGTAAATAAAACTTTTTAAAACATTGTTTCCATGAACTTTCCAGATACGTTATACTGACTTCTCCCTTTATTTCTCATTGTTTTTTTTTTTTTTTTAAGAGGTTTTTGCTATAGGGCACACACGCTCGCCAGAAAGACAGAGAGAGGTAGACAGAAAGCGAGAAATCATCCCCCCTATGGGGTATGGCCACACTGCAATCTCTTTTCCATTCTTCTCTCTGGATCTTGGGCACACGTGGCGTGAGTTTAAGCTGCAGGGTCCGGGACTCAAACCATGGTCGGCTACATGGGAGTCTAACAACATAGCCATTACGCCAACTGCTGGTCCCAATTTCTCATTGTATTTTTAATAAAACGTACATTCTGAAATGCTCCCTGCTAGCCCTTTGTAATGGAAGCCCCTCCCCACTGCCCCTGCCCCTCCTCTCTGGGCTGTTCCTTATTGAAAAGTGGGTGCTTTTCTTTTTCTTTTTTTTTTTTTTTTGAGAGGGTTTTGCTATAGGGCATGTGCGCTTGCCAGAAAGACAGAGACAGACAGACAGCTCTGCCTCCAGGGAAGATAGCCACACCACAATCCCTTTTCCTCCATTCTCCTCTTGGGATCTTGGGCGCACACACACACGTGCCCAGCGTGAGTTTTAAGCCACCAGGTCCGGGACTTGAACCATGGTCAACTACATGGGAGTTCAGTGACATAGCCATTACGCTAACTGCAGATCCCGAAAAGTGGTGCTTTTCTACCCACCTTTTTCTTACATTTCTCCCCAATTTAACTACACCAAACAGTAAAAATAACCAAGTATAAAAATTAGTTGAAGGGGGACCGACAGATGGCATAGTTGTTACCTTGCTAGACTCCCACATGGCTGACCATGGTTCGAGTCCCAGACCCAGCGGCTTGTAGCACTCTGCGCACATGTGTGCATGCCCAAAATCCTGAGAGGAGAATGGCGGAGGAGGGATTGCAGTGTGGCCATTTCCCCCCCCCCGGGGGGGGGTGTGATTTCTTGCGTTCTGTCTCTCTGGCAAGCACGTGCCCTTTAGCAAAAATCTCTCTCTCTTAAAAAAAAAAAATTAGTTGAGGATCCAGCAAATATTGTGGTAGTTAGGGTACTAGAATCCCATATGACCAGGCGTGGTTCAAGTTTTAGACCTGGTGGCTTGAAAATCATGCTGGTGTGTGTGCATATATCCCAAAATCTCAGGAGGAAAATGGAGAAGGGATTGCAGTGTGGCCGTTTACCCTGGAGGGTGATTTCTCACTTTCCTTCCAACTCCCTCTCTCTGGCAAGTACACATGCCCTATGGCCAAAAAAAAAAAAAAAGTTACTGAGTGTTCTAATCTGTTGCTTTTTAAAAATGTGTGCTAGAGCATGTGTGTGTGGATAAGAGAGAGGTCGATGAGTACCCTGTGCAGGGTTGGTGCTGCTGGGACCCCATTCCTCCAGTCCCCAGGCTGTTGGATCACAGGCACTGGTGCTCACACCCAGCACGTTTCAGGCTGACGGAGCTTGGGATTGGACTAGGGCATCCAGCTTGTCTTGAGCAGTACTTTACCACCGTGTCACGAAGCTGGCCTAGAGGGTGCCTTTTTATACTCCCATGAAGTGCCTCCTCCTCTGTGCCCTGGCCTGCAGGTGCCACAATAGAGGTTAAGAGGACAGAGCCTCCCCAAGGTCCCAGCCCCCTGGCCTGTGGTCTCCAGTGGTGGGCTTCACCCATCCTACGTCTCATCTTCCAGGATGCCAAGCTGTGGCCCTCACAGACACCCTGACATCTGCGTGTACTTGCACTCGGATGGAGGAGCTAGGGGTAGAAGGGGACTCAGAGAGAAGATTAAACGTGGGGCCTGGAACTCTGAGCCTCACAGGGGGTGGGGAGCAGGGGCAGGGGAGAGCAGGCTGTGAGGATCCGATAGCCAGGACACTTGGGCAGGTCAGCTACCTCTGGAAACTACATATGGAAATTCACAACGGTCAGGTTTTTCTTTCACAACGGATAAACTATTTCTAAAGAAGGAGCAGGACTTTTCACAGTGAAGTCCAAGCAAGAAAGATCAGCTTGCCTTGTGCACACCCTCAGTAGTCTGTTTGACATGTGAGAGTCTGGCCTATCCTGGGGCAACCTGGCCAGTGCTTGGGAGAGCGTCTGCATTTAGCACTCTCTGCCTTGCCCTCCTTCCCCTCTCTTCTCCTGAGCTCTGGAAAGAGAGCACTTGTTTGTTGGGTTGATCCTGATCTTTCCTGGAGCCGCTGCCTGCAACCACTGGGCACAGCCTGGTGGTAGGAGGGGACTTCAGGATGAGGCAGAGTTTAGGAAGTTGGTAACCACCACTGGAAGCCAAGTGGCAGGTTTGCCCACTGTGGGGGTAGGGAGGGAGAGTGAGCTGGCCCCTTAGCACCTGTCGAGAGTGGGATCTGCTGGGCCCAGGTTCTCTGAGAGACCCCTCCAGGAGGGCAGTTCTCACCCTCACACGTAATTGGTCTCCAAGAACAAATTGGTGGGTGAAACCAGGATGATATAAACGCAGTGAGAAATACTCCTCACTCACATTTTACAGTAGCCGTTTTTGTTGTTTTTTTTCTCTACCTTAAAGTTCAGACCTCTGGGCTCTTGGATGCATCATCTACCAGCTGGTGGCAGGACTGCCGCCCTTCCGTGCCGGGTAAGGACAGCATCTTCCCCAGCCCTCCTCCCCACAGGGCCACCTGTCCCTACCTGACAGAGAGGTGGGAGGGCAGTACTAGGCAGGCCGAGTGGAAAAGCTTCCACCACAACTCACACACTCAGAGGCCCCATGGCCGGCCAAGCGCTGTGTTGGCCCCAAAACCGCACTTCCCCATGCCGGGCAGTTTGGAGGGCTCTGCCCGCAGTGACTTTTTTGTTTTAATTTTACAGAAATGAGTATCTTATATTCCAGAAGATCATAAAGTTGGAGTATGACTTTCCAGAAAAATTCTTCCCTAAGGCGAGAGACCTTGTGGAGAGGCTTCTGGTAAATAGTCCTCAATTCCCTCTGGTGAGGTGAGCTGGCAGCCACAGCCCAAGTCCCCCTGGACCTGTGTGCAGAGTGAGAAAGTGGCGCTTCGGAGCTGGTGTGGGCGTACAGTCACATCTCACGTCATTTTAACATCCTTGCGGTTTCCAAATGCCCGGCTCCCCACAGGATAGCACTTTAGCAGGAGTAACAGAAGTGAGACGGAGTCACCGTACCGCTCTGCGTGTGCTCAGCCACGTGGTACAGCGTCCCCGGTTACTGCTGTGGAGAGGCTGGGCCACTGCAGTGCCAGTGGCTTAGATCCTGCTTCAGGCGTTGCTGTAGATGGCAGCTGAGTGAAGGGTTTTTTTTTTTTAGTTTCTTGCTGTCAGGCACATGTACTTCCCAGAGACAGAAAGACAGAGAGAGGGAAAGTGAGAAATCACAATCCCTTCTCCTGTTAGGATTTTGGGCACATATGCACATGACCTGGCATAATTTTCCAACTGCTAAGTCCAGAGTTTGAACTACAGTCAGCCATGTGGGAGTACCAGTGCTTTAACCACCATGCCACCTGTTGTCTCCTGTTGAAGATTTTAAAGAGCCCAGGTAGTATAGCAAAGAGGAGAGCATTACCTAGGAAAGAAGTATGGCTTACAGTCGAGGAGCCGACGCACCTCCACCCTGGTGTGCCTTTGGTTCCGGGCTTTCCTCGACCTTTTGGGAGTAGGGTCAGGCTTACTGGTGGGTTGGGGCTGGCCCCAGTGTAGCCTGCAATGGGGCTGGGAGGAGGCTGTAGTCAGCTGCCTGGTCTTAGCTTGACTTTGGCTTTCCCTTTAGTGAGACGTGGGCTTGATCCCTCCTGAGGGTACAGGGAGAGCTCAGTCCTGGAGGAGATGGCTCTGCGACCCCGACCCCGTGAGAGACACAGGGTGCCAGCGCAGCTTGTGTGAGCGCCTGCTGTCCAGGCTTTTCACTCTCCGTTATTCAAGACAGTAGGTTACTTTTTCTTATTTTAGGATTTTTAAAAAAATTTTGCCAAAGGGCACTTGTGTTCACCAGAGACAGAGCGAGAGGGGGACAGGAAAGCAGCCCCGTGGTGCACGGTCACGCTGCAGTCCCTCCTTCTTCATGTCCCTTTCCGTCGGGGTTTTGGGCACAGACACATGTACATGCCCAGTATGTTTTTCAAGCCTCCAGATCCAGGACTCAAACTGTATAGTTGGTCATGTGCAACCCAGCTGCCTTAGCCACCATGCCATGGGCTGGCTCTGTTTCAGGATTTTTGACTCTGTATTTTACAAGAAAATGGGATATTGTTTTTCATGTTTTAAAATCCAGACTTTCACCTCTAGAGCCTGGAGACAGCAGAATGGCAGGCAGGCCTAGGGCAGGCAACGGCCTGCTTTTGCTAGGTTACTGAAAGCTGAAGCGAATCACCCCAGAGGTGTCCTTGTCGTCAGCATTGCGTTCTCACCCTGACAATGACTTGTGTTGACTGTTACTTTAGGTTTTAGATGCCGCAAAACGCTTAGGCTGTGAAGAGATGGAAGGGTACGGGCCTCTTAGAGCTCACTCGTTCTTCGAGTCCATCACGTGGGAGAACCTGCACCAGCAGACACCCCCGAAGCTCACGGCTTACTTACCAGCCATGTCGGAGGATGACGAAGACTGCTATGGCAATGTAAGCCGCTGGGTGCGTCGGGGCTGCCAAGTCAGCCTGAGTGCTGCCGGCCATGTCATGAAGGTGGGGCGCAGGCACACGTGCACAGGAGGCCCAAAGTGCATGGGTAGTGGCTCAGACGGGAAGATGTCACCATCCAGGCCATTGGTGGCCAAGCACTTTGCTGCCACGAGACAGTGGCTGGTGAGTCCCTGGAGCCTCATTCCCTCAGTTCCGGACAGTTCGGTGAACTTTCATCCAAGAATGTGCTGGGAACCAGAGGCGGGGTGGTCTGGAGCCAGGGACCAGTTGGCCCCTGTGCTGGACCCAGGCTCCAGGCCTGAGCCTCCTGGGGGCTCACCGTGCTCTCCTGGGCTTGGGACCTTTCTCCATGTACCTGTGTGTGTTCGAGAAACCGGAATTGCTTCTGCCTCGCATGTCTGGAGATGGTCACTCAAACGCCCAGTGGGCTGCAGAGTGCAAGGCAGTGGGTCTGGGTCCAAGGGAAGCCTCCAGTCCCTGCTCCAGCCACCTGTCTGCTGAGACTCGGTGATAAACAGGGTCTTCAGTGTACTGCGGCCTCTTCCCTTTTCGTCATGAAGTCAGGAAAATCCAGAGCAGGGAGAGCCACATGTGTGAGCTGTGGCGTGCCTGCCAAGGCCTGCTGTCTTCCAGTTTTACCCAAGCCCTTCCCAGTTTTTAAATTTAACTGTAGAAGTTTTTGTGTCACTGATAATTCCATTTAAAAAAATTATTAATTTTATTTTTTATTATTCTTCAATTTGACCAGAGAGAGAAAGGGGAGGGGTAAGCTGCCAGGTCTAGGATTCAAACTGCAGCTAGCCATTGGGGAGTTCAGCATCTTAACTACCGTGCCACCTGCCAGCCCTGATAATTCAGTTTTTATTATTTCACTTCTGTCATTTTGGCTTATTCTAGCCAATTACGGTGTGTAGAGTTCTATTTCTGTTGACTAAAGAATTCTGGACTTTTTCTGGAAGGTCATTCATAGCTAGTTTGAAATTACTACAGGCATCACCTCTTGGACATCAAGCATTCTTTTTTTTTTGGGGGGGGGGAGAGGTTTTTGCTATAGGGCGCGTGCGCTCGCCAGACAGACAGAGAGACAGAAAGCGAGAAATCACCCCCTAGGGCGGATGGCCACGCCGCAATCTCTTCTCCTCCATTCTCTTCTTGGGATCTTGGGCACATGCACACACGTGCCTGGCATGAGTTTTAAGCCACCAGGTCCGGGACGTGAACCGCAGTCGACCACATGGGAGTCCAGCGACATAGCCATTACGCTAACTGCTGGTCCCGACATCAAGGGTTCTTTGCATCTCCTACCCAATCTAGGGTACACTCTCCCCTTATTTGTTCCAAAATGCCACTTGTTGCCAGCCACGGTGGCCCTGCAGTGCCCTGCAGTGCTGAAGCAAGTGAAAGGTCCTGGGTTGCACCCCGGGTCTCTCCGTATACACTAGGTACCTGCGTTCATGATTCTGGCTGGGCTGGGTGTGGGCCACACCCTACAGACCGTCAGAGATGCTCTCTGTCTTTCTCACTCATGGAAGAAAATAAATAAACTTAAAATCATGCCTTTGGTGCCCAAAGATGAAGGGGGCCAGGCTTGGAGAACAGCATGTGCTAACCCCCCAACTGCTGCCCACCAGGAGCCCCCCACAGCCTTCACGTAGATGACAGGGACTACCTGGGTGTGACATCCTTGGGTCGTGGCCAGTGGGAGTCCATGGGAGCTGTAGGGCTTCCTGCTG